AATCGCGGAAATAATAATTTGTAAACAGTAACAGTAATAACAGTAACATAAGATGAGTAACAGACCTTGAGAAAAGAGGAAAATTCAACTTAATTATTTGCTCGTGTGAGTGAATAACAACGCAACCCTTATAATTATGTAATTCACCAAAATGCTAGAAATTGCTGCAGAATTCAACAGGATGAGAATAATTGCGACTAGTTGACTTACCCGGCTCCCCCCGGCCCTGTCATTATTCTATTCGTAATCAGCATGCTCGATTACCTTCTGTGCCAACTCCCACCCCGTAGCTCAAATTTTTGCAAAAAATCGATAAAATCGATAAAAGTAATGCACGATTTTAAAAACTAATGTTGTATTCGTAATCAGCATGCTCGATTACCCCCCTGTGCCAACTCCCAGCCCCGCAGCTCAAATTTTGCAAAAAATCGATAAAATCGATATCGATCGATGACGAAAAGTAGCCTATGACACCCGCCGGGGCCCGAAGTGTATGTGTGCCAAGTTTGGTCCGGATCGGTTCAGAAATGGAATTTTCTATTCGGAACGTACACACAGACATACAGACAGACAGACAGACAGACAGACAGACAGATAGACAGACAAACAGACATTCAGCTTTATATACAAGATTTTGTACGGCCCTGTTAAGATGAACTATGACTAATGACTAATTTTTTTGTCTTTATAAATGACAATGCAACAAATGCGTTACTAGGCATTTGTCCAAATCCTCTACTGCTGCAAATCTCTCATTCTCGGGGAAAAAAATTGTCTCTCTTAACTGTTCCTAATTTTCGACCATCAGCGAGCACTTACGATGATGTTCTCTGTTGTCCCTTTGTTGGACATCACCACTTAAAGGGACAGCGTTCGAACACTTCTGAAATTAGTTCTTTCTACTTGAGCGCCTCTTTTTTTGTGGCAGTTGCTCTTCGAAGGATGTCTACAAAGTGGAAAGGATGCAAAGTTCATGTCTAGTCTAGCGCTAATGGTCCACTGATGCGAGTGATTTGGCGGCGATTCAAAGTTCGTACTATCCGAAAAAAAGCGTCCAAGTAGAAAAACGAATTTGGTTTTAGAAGATGCGCCATTGTCATACAATATATTTTTGGGACAAGCCAATTTGTAAGAGTTTGCATGTAAGCGGTTTTCCAGCAAACACCTGTTTTTGTCGCTCCGGAGGCCTTTTCATGTCCCTAATTCCAAATATGAATTCTTCTCCGGAACGGTGATTGAATGGGCGCGCACGGATGGGCGGGCATTACTGGAGGGGGGCGGTGCCGAGCTGGGGTCCTCATGCCCCTTTTCTATTCCGAACGTTTTCTCGCTTCCGAAGCGACATTTTGAGCCACGACTTGGGCACTGGCTTGATAAGGGCCCTACCATCACAAGCTGCGAAAAGCTCAAGACCTCCTACTTTGGGTGGACGGTGCCTTTGAGAAATAAGATGGACTAATCTATGTACATAGTCGTTGCCGCAAATGCACACTTAGCCAGCAAAGTTAAGAAAATTTTTAGCACATTTGGACTGCTTGTTCCCGTGCTTTTTTCTCTTTTTTAAATAATTTAGGATGTATTTCGCACTGTCTTTACTATGAGTACAATAGCATGACTCTAGCAACTCAGAAACGAAAGTTAAATAATGTCCGATTCTCTAAAATTCATTCTATAGGCGTTGTAGTTTGTTACGGAAAGCTCGGAAGTAAATCAAGATTTTGTCGAACAAAGTATTCCTGGCCAAAGCGCCTAATAAGATATAGAGATTTAACGAAATCGGGCAACTTAGTAAAGATAGCACGAAAATCTTACCAATTTGTTATTCTTGTGAGCTCTAACTCGATTTTTCTGCCCTAGAATCTATCAGGAAACGGAAGACATCTGGAATGGTGGCTCGTACATATTGCAGCGTATGCACATTACTTCGGAAAGTGCGTCAGAGCTCTTACATTGTAAACGACGGACATGATGCCCGAACAGCAGCAAAACTTTTAGAACCTTTCCTAGGGGGATAGGCAGAGATTTTACCCTGGATACGACTGTGTGTTTGCGTGTTTTGACGAATTTGGGCTTTGCTGGAGCTCAGGCAGCCCACAATTATTCGTGTGCCAAAGCTGTGCCAGCGTCGTGCTAGCGTCATGCCGGGACTTGTTCCAGGGCCGTTCCGGCCAGCGCTGGAACGGCGCTGGCACGAGGATCTCTAAAAGCAGCTTCAGCATCACATTGCGCTACACTGAAGGATATAAAGTTTCGACTTTCCTCTGCTGCCAATACCTCTATCTGTCATACCATGTGTGTCTCTCCATTTATTGTAATAATCAAAGTTCACTTTACTTTGGTAGTTCGTTTTCCCAAATTTAGTCTTGATTTTTTTTTGCGCTTCGCTGAAGTGTCTCATGAAGGAACATAATTTGAACGGAAATACACTTCCGTTCTGTCCTTGAAAACCACCGACTGTAAGAATCCACGTGCTGCAAATTAGATGGTTGATTTGTGTAAGAACTGCACGTATATGGCCTATTATGAACGATCTCATTGAAACCTTCGTTTCTCATTTAGTTTGCTCTGTATAGAATTTTTGTTTGATATACCGCAATCCGATTGCAGCCTAAAGTTCCTTTACACTTTGAAGAACCGTCCATGGATGGTGCGGTTCCCTCTCTTCGGAATTTATCTTTTGCAGCAAAAATTGAACGGTGACTTAGCTAACGTCCCTCCCTTATATGGCATCAAATCCTCATCATCCTTACCTTGGATGGACAGTGACTTTAACAATTACCGAGGAGCGTGTTGGGACTTTCGATAACCAGCTGGCTGCCATTGGCTGTTGCGCGTTCACCTCGGCGATATACGGCTGGTAGAAATGTTCATTGAGGGTAATGATCTAGACGGACATTGAATTTCTAGCACTGAACCTCCTCCTCCCCCCACCCCTCCCTCCTACCCCCGGCTCCCCACAATGAATTGCCAAAAGTGATGTTTTCTGATGTTTCATTAAAACTGTTTTTCTCCTCTTTTATTTTTGTCTCTAGCAAAGCCCAAATGGCTTGGGATCAGCTCTTGCTAAAGAAAATTCATCAGATCTTCTGATTGATGAAAGAATATTTGCAAAAACTTCTTCAAAACATATCGCTGCTTTATAAAAAATTAGAGCCGCGAGTTCTTTAAAGAACTTGCTTTGGTTCTCCTCGCTCCTCATGTAGGCCTTTTGAACCGTTCGCGCGCAAAGCTGCGGTTTTTCAAATTTTTTTAAAACTGTCTTTCCTTTCATGTCTATGAGCCCATATCGGTTCATCTCCAGACATTGTGCCTTTTTCTTACATACCCCCCCCCCCCACTCCGGCACTTCTTGAGAGGCATGGAGCTCTTCTCCTTCAAAATCAAAAACCTCTGAGAATCCAGATCTTCAGACATCCAGAAAAAGACTCAAGACGGCTTTGCGAGTGGACGGCATAAGAAAAGGTGCTTGAAGTGCCTGATCCTAGCAACTACGGATTTGCCAGTCCTTGCGTTCACCAGCTGTTTCGCACAGCTTTCGAGGGTAGCTGTGCTGTCAGTTCTCGTCTTCGTGTTCGACTACAGAAACCTTGAACTTCTTTTACGACGCATTCCAAAGTCTTTTTGTGAAATTCCGGCATTAATGCATTACAACACGTTCTCTCTCTTCACATGTCTACCGTACACTGCTGTCTTGTGACTCATTCCATGTCTCTGACATGAGGAAGGGGTTAAATATCGTAAATACATTTATCTACGCTTGAAATCTTACTTTTTAAGTTTGACTAAGATTGCTTCCATTCAATGGAAAAGATCAAGTGCGTTAAGGGAAAAATTGTGATAAACAGCAATTTTTGAAAAGTGAGCTCGAACTCTCTACGTTCAGGACCTTGAATTTTATGGAGAGACAAATACTTACACTTTTTATCGTTCTTACTGAATTTCACATATGACTGCTCTAGCCACGCAGAAGCGGACCATAAAGACCACAAAACTGTAGTAATCGCCGGTCTCTTCAAATAATATATGTTTGACTTTCCAAGATTTCATTAGTATCATTTTTTTCAAGCAACGAAAACAATTTCCTCTTCAATGTTGAAATTCATTTCTAAACCACGGTCTATGATTTCTTACTGATTTCTTATTTTTTATTTCATTTCTTCTATTATTTGTTAGAGGTGCAATTACCAATTTCCTACTTAAGACTTTCTGCGGTCCCTTCGCAAAGTGGAAGAAGGTGGGAGAGGGCCAAAATTTTCTAATGCATAATCGAGTGTTAACCTATTGTCGACGACGCCTAATTTTGCGCGGCGGCGCTGTGTGACGACGCGATTTTGCAGAACACTCTCGGTGTGGAAAGGTTTGTAATTATTTACGAAATGCAAGATTCTTTTGTAAGCAACTATAAACTTTTTTTTTGATCGACGGAGTCTACAGGTCCCAAGAGTGCAAAAAACAGGAAAAATATTAGTCTCTGGAACAAATACTAGACCTACAAAGGATATGACTTTTGAACAGGTGTGGACCACCGGTGGTCCACATCGTCGTCAATGGGTCAACTTCGAACTTTTTTCGTAAGGCAACGTTCACAATATTGTTTTACTTTTCCATTTTTTATGATCACACTTTTGACAGTCTACCCGCGTGAACGTGCATGGACTGATATACCAAGAAGCCGTAAAAATCTTTGGTTTTCAATAAAATTAACAAACTTTTTTGACCTCTCACATTCATCTAATTCCTTTGCATGTTCAACCAGTAATTTTTCTAAACTTCCGGCAAATGTTTCGGCATGTGAAGATTTCATGTGATTGCCGAACAACTCTGCAATTATCGCAGACTCAAGTAAACCTAATGTGCCACAGAGACTTCAAAGTATGTATGCTTGGAGTCTTTTGACATTCTGAATAGTTTTTCTGCCGGTAGAAAAAGTGATTTATAATGGATTAATGATTTATAATCACGTTTTCGCTTAATTTTTTTATCCAAATTGTTTGCCCAGAATGCTGGAGGTATGTAACTGGCACGGCCATCATGTGACACTATTTTTCATCATACACTTCAGCTTGAGGGAAATCTTGAAAAAGTACGACTTTCCAATTCTTTGGGCATGTCTACTTAGATTTTTTGGTTATATTAGCATAATTACATGCCGGTAATATTTTTTCAATAATTATAATGGCGCCAAACTCCCGTATTGCCAATGTGCCTGATTAGGTTAGAGAAGTGAGAGAGAGCGTGCAGAACATAGAGAGCGCGCAGTACGCGCGAAAATCGCTTTGTGGGCGGGACCGGCTCTGATTGGGTCTCAAAGCAATTTTCTTGTTAAAAATACTCTAGTTCATATATTCATACCTCCGAGTTGCTTACGTTTCATGTGATCGTTGCGCGTATATTCGCGAACACCTATTGCATTTACCAGGTTCTCTACCATATGCCCATAAATTGTGATTTATGAGATGATATGAGAGCTGAGATTTATCGCCTTTCGCTGGATGTTCTCTTTTTTGCTCCACGCACATTGTGTTTGTTATCGTTCATCAGGAATGCGGAAGGTTCCCATAATGGTCGTCTCCTCTCTCAAAACAAATTTGGCGAACGAAATTTTGTTCTTCCGCATTCATTTTCTCCAACTCATTCTTTTTATTTTGTCTAAGTAAGTGCAACTAAGTGATTGTTGTGGTTTATGTTGAGGGTGTATAGCGAATGTCTATGCCTGAACTTAAATGCTCTAGCAGCCGTAGAGCGTATACAGTCTGTCCCAATCGGGGTCGGGCAAAAGCTGGAGTGCGTAGCCGCAGCGCATGGACTGTGCGTCACGTCTACGCCTTGCTTATCTGCTCTATCTTCAGTCATTTCGCTCTCTCCGACAGAGTGCATACCAAAGCAAACTTCTAGAGCTGCGAGGGCGCAGGTCTACGCTAATGTTCCTGATCCTGATTGGGGCAGACTTTGGAATATATCACTAAATAAATAAATATTTTTATCAGCTCAAATGCAGTTCATTTAATCAATCACAATTTTTCAAAACATTTTTCCTCTCATCTAAAGGGCCTCCTCCTCACTTCATGTTTTTGTCTAATGGCAGAAAATCTTAGGTTATATCCAGCTAAGAAAGCAAATCAGTCTACAGTAATCCTACAGTCTCTCGACCACCTTGAGTACAATGTCTAAACAATTTTTCAATGTGGTCTGTAAGTGATTGATTAAGAGGCCAAAGCAAATCATCTCTGAGTAAATTCAACTCTGCCTGTCGAGACCGTAGAGACCAACAAGCGTTCTCGATGCGATAGGGACGGTCTGGGCGAGAGCTTGAGCTAAGTTTCTCAGACCGCGAATAAACCGTGCTAGCTGCCGTTTCAGCAACAGCTCAAATAAGGCCTCCAAATCAGTTTCCACATAAGAAATCCAGATAATTCTGCGAAGCCCCTCCACAAAAGCAAACCCATTTTACCGTAATCATACAGTCTACTGCATCTACCGTACCGCCTGAATCACCATTCTCCAGCTCAATCAATATCTATTAGCAGCTCGTTGTCGTCGTGAATTCATCTCGCCTGCTTCCAGTTACACCCGTAAGTGTCGTTGTTCGTTCTAGCCATCAACGAACGAATAGATGTGAGCTGTGTAATTTCCGTCGCGTGTGTTTCTTCTTCTTCCCGGAAGATTGCCAGCGTTCGGAAACAAAAACGTCTTGGCGCAAATGCGCTCGTAAAACTATGTGTCGAAGTGGCCGTCTACAACAAATCACCACTTATTCCCTCCCACTCATTGGTGGCAGTTCTTGGAAAACTTCCTGGTTCCAGAATAGAGCGGTAAAGAAACGTGTCCAGTTCTCTTTCAGAGAGCTTCTCACAAACAGACATCCTTTTTCTCCATAATGGGGAAAAACGCCTCGCTAATGGAATTCTCAAGGCAACACACGCTTTTCGACGCGGCTTCGCTAGAAAAAAACCCTGGGTAAAGTCTAGCCCAAGTCCGAGCAGCTCCCCCTGACCACCCGGTTCGTTCCGTTCTCCTCCCCACCTGTTGTGTTCCGTCCGAACGAATGTCGTGCTGTGTGGCAAAGTGCCGATATCAACCCTACGGAAGCCAGATGTTTAGAGATGTCGCAGCGCTCCCCCTGCACTTGTTCCCCTCCCCCCCCCCCCCCCGTCGTCGTTACGTCCACTTGTACTTTCTGTTGGCCTGAAAGTGCATCTTTTGCAAAAATGCGCTTGCGACGAGGCACGGCCGACGAACATTCACAAGTTCAAAAATCATTCGCAATGTTGACAAATTACTCCGTAGAGGTTTTTTAGGTCAGGTATGCACAGTAGTTGTGAAAAAGTACTTACTGTTCTTTGTTTCCATCAAAGTACTAACAAAAGATCTGTACGCACAAATATTGAATTTCTTAGAAAAAATAAGCAAAAACTGTGTTGTTCTCGTTGCTCAGATTGGCATACAATGATAAACTTCGGCCTTTTTTGTCAGGTACGGTAGCTTTACAGTAGATTATCGTTTCAAAGTTGAGTTTACTTCTTGTGAAGCTGTTACTTTTACTCTGTCTAGCACTCTTTCCTGAAAACATCTATGGAAAATTTTTAAGGACGTAAAGCTCTCTCAAAAATTTTTACGCTTCTACCGTAATCCTACAATCCTACTCTACCTCAGTCTGACGCTAAAGCGTTAATCTACTGTGCGGATATTTTTCGTAATACTGTTTCATATGTAACTGTGCAAGGATCCTGCAAATCTGATTCTAGCTTCTTACCGTACAACTACAGTAACTTCAAGTTGAAAGTTATAGGTGCGGAACGATCGTTTTTGCAATCTGATTCGAATAACCGTGTCGGTTATACTTGTTTAATAGCGCAGCAAAAAATATGCGCTGGTTCTAACAAGTTTCTTAGTTTGTTATAAACTAATAATTTAACACTAAATAGAATGCATTTGCGATACTAACAACACTTGCGCGTGAAAAATTGCCCCTAGTGTGAGGGGTATTATTGTCTCTGACAGCGTTTTCTTCGTTTTTTTTTTGAATCGCCTTGCTAGAAAAGAGGATAAGAATAATCAAAAGTTAGCATTTTTGATTGGCAAAAACCAGAAAATAAAAAAACGGTATCCATTTGAAATTGGCCAATGCCTGATTTGAAATAACAAGATAGGAAAAACTCTTTGCATGTTGGAGCGGAGAGGGGAGGGGGAAGCAAAATTTCTCGAGGCCAGAAGTTTTTTTTTGCGATTCGATCTAGACTGAAGTCGCGTGCAGTACGGATGCGTGGCGAATGCTGCGGTGCGGTTCTCGTTGCCTGCGTGTCTTCTATCCGCGTTTTCTCTCTACGTTGAGCGTCGACTAGAAACCGCGGCTCCTTACTAGACGCAAGCAATGCTGCAATTTATTCATATTAGCACTTTGTTACAATGAACTTTTCGTAGAAAGTAGCATGTTATGGTATGAGCGGTTTCGAATGCGCACTAAATGGTTCTTGCTTCCTCTTCATTCAGAACGGTCGTAAGTTGGCATGACAGATAATGGAAATTTGTCAGCACTTTGCAGTTTTCGACTATAATGTGTGCGAAATTGACATCTCACAATCATCTCACAAATTCACATCTCACATCTCATCTCTCTGACATCTCATCTCATCTCTTGTCTGTAGCTTAAACAGCTTTGACAATCTTAATCTTATTTTTGAGATTTTCAGGCTAGATTTGCACTTTTACTGCCATTTACCTCTAGCACGTAATTTTATCTCTCACTGCCATCTTCCATCTATCCAAGTTTTCCTTTTTTTGTGTTTCTAAGGATGAAGGCCACCCTCCTCCCCGCCGTTTGCCTCTATTATCACCGTTTTTGAAAATGTCTATTAGACGTTGCTCTGAACTACAAAATGTCCCGAAAAATGTGCATGCTATTTGATTGTTAAGTCCCTTGTCATGAGATCTTTCGAGAAAACTTAGGTACCATTTTGTAGAGCTGGCTTCAACTTAAATTCATAGTATTGAGCGGATCACCGATCACCTTCACAGTTGTACGATTACGGTAGGAACTCGCTGCATATGGCGCCACTGTGAGATGGGCCAGAAAAAAAATTAGCCCGAAAATCTGAAAATTTGCATAGCAAGTTTGTTATGCATGCTGATTTCACTACATGACTATTTGCGCGTTCGTAGAGCCCTTTAAAAGACGTAATCAAATTTTTGACAAATATCAGAAGTCGCTTCTTAAAGTAAATCTAGCATAAGGACTGAGAAAGGCATCACGATAAAGTGCGAATTTCATATTTAAATTCAGCGGCTTCAATGAACTAAAGGAGGAGTTTTCAGCTTTTTTAGTGTTTCTTTTGAAGAAGTAAAATATGGCCGCTAATAACGCAAAACCCTCCTCAAAGTTCCTACCGTAATCCCACACTAATGAAGACAGAATTTTAATTCGCTCCATACTGCAAATCTAAGACTTCACGACAAGAGAGTCATCTGCAGTTCAACAATAAGCACTTTTCTTGGGACACTGTGTATATAGTCACTAACATAACAGCATTCCATTAGGATAGTCGCAAACTTTTTAGAATTCCGGAACTCTCAGAATCTGTGCTGGTTTTGTTGTCATGAGTACTTAAAACAAGATTTTGACGAAGACATCGTGCAAAAAATTGGTGAGTGTTCGTCAAACTATGTACCTATCTCTGTAAACAGTTTTCTAGTTTCAAATTTAAGTAAAAGATAGTTATCATAATATGATCATTTACAAACAGTGATCCGGCACATTTACATCTGGCCGTCTCCTGAGTTAAATCTTCACTCATGAATTTGCCTGAGTTTCATGGTTTTGACATTTTCAACCATAGTTTCTTATTTCTGATCGCGTAAATCTTGCATGGAAAGGAAACTTAAGCGACACTTCTGGCATTCTGCCATTTCACTTTACCGCAGTTTACCTAAACCGCATTTTTATGCAAGTTAAAGGAGAAGAAAAAACCCTGAAAGCTCTAAATTTTCAAGGTCTTAAACTTGCGGCTGTTTTGATAAATCGACTGTCTTAAAGAAGCAACTGTTCTATATTTTGTGTTAGACCTTAAAGAAGAGGGAGGACTAACACATCATTTTTCTGCTGTACTCAAACCTTATCTGCTGCCATGATTCATGTGAGTTTTTAAAAATCCATTAAGGTCGTATGATTATCTTACAAGGCTTCAAGCCACTACAGTAATGCTACGGCCAATTTTATATATACGACGGTTTGAGGTAATGCCCAGGAAAATCTTAGTTCCGTGAGTTCTTTTGGCAAACGGTCAAAGCATTATAAAGCCAATGCTACGGCAGTTCATATGATTCGCTTTTGGCTGAGAAATCCACTGCAAGGCCCATTACCATTGAAGATGTTCGGTTCGATTGGAAAGACTGCGGTGTGGGCCAGAGTCCAAACTTCGTAATAGAGTTACCCGTGCCAGTGTCAGTGTAGCGCCGTGCTAGAACCTCGATCGACTGATATGGAAAACATGCGCGTGGGATCCGTTTCGGTGCTGGCACAGCACTGGCACGACGTAGAATAGCGCTGGCACAGCACTGCCACGAAGAATAGCGCTGGCACAGCTCCCACCCGCAACTGCAGACGCTGACTTAGACCTCGACTTCTGGCCATGAATCGTAGGAGCTGCTGCTCGGGCAATGGCTCAGTTAAGAGCTCCCAGTCTTTACCCTGAAGGAAGAGGTACCCAGTTTTGGACACTGCAATCCAGATTTCAAAATTAGCTTGCTAATGTCGAGTCTGTCGAGTCGAGGCTTGAATTTGGCCTTGGAAATTTTCAAGTCAACTTTGGAAGCCCACTCAGCACATATGCATGTAAATATTGCAAGTACTCGGTTTTGCAAAGTACGGACCTATTATCACAAATTATTCCCTCCGATAGTAAAAGTCCATGACGAAATACCTACGTCACTTTGTCTCATTTCCCGATTGCCTCTGCGTGCATTTGCGTCACTTCTTAACTATTTTTAGTTTGCATTCATGCGGAAGGCCCAACATCCTCCTACTGATCATTCCAAACTCTGTAAACTTACCCCCGTCATGTTTACTCCGCGAACATCTGTCCAAAAGTGAAACCACTTCGGATTGGCGCCTGTTAGGTGTATGCGTGGTGTGTGTTAACAATGACTCAAACGTTGATTCTGTTGATAAGCATTCACATTCCGCTATGAGTGGGGGCATTTCCTGGAAGAGCCAACATTGATTGCATTGCCTTTGCGTTTTTTCTCCTAAAATGCATTTTTCAATATGCCGACGTGACCTTGGATTTAAATTAGAATTTTTTTAATGCATGTCTACGTAATAGCATCTCTTAGCAATGCTCTGTGTTTGTGAGACCATCGGGAGCAAGTCAGGGGAGTGGTGGTCAGCCGAGCGAATGATTGCTTTCCATTAGCAATCTTAGTTTTTCATTCACTTCAATTCATTGGCTAGAAGAAACAACTTTGTTTTCTCTTACCCAAGCCAAGGAGGCTATGCTCATGCTATATATAAGTTGATCAAGAGCTTGCGAATCGCTATGTTTTCGTTTCTAGGTATCCGTGCTGGTAATTGCAAATTTTAAAGCTTTCAATTCGTTCTAATTTACTTCAAGATGGCAACACAGATTATCGATAAAATTGTTTTGGCATACCGCACTGAAGGTAGTGTCCGGGCAAAAAGTCGATTTTGAGATTTAGTGGGTACCTGGGGCTTTTCGCTATGCTGGATCCGAAAATCCACATTGGAGAGCGCGGAAAGAGCGAAAAAGGGTTCTAACGCAGGACAGAAATGAGGAGGTGAGCAGAGCCCTTCCCTTCGAGAAGTCCTCTCCCGGCTTCAAGAGCGATCTTCTCGGTTCCGCTAGCCACCTTAAGATTGCCACCAGTCAAGTGCGAAAGCGTGACCTGAGGAAGTGAGGAAAGCGCTCTTGAAGCTAAGAGAGAGACTCCACAGAGAAGAGATTTCCGCCCACCGGCTGATTTCCCTCTGCGTTAAAGCCCTTTTTCGCCGTTTTTGCGCTCTCCAAGGTGAATTTTCGGATTCAGCATAGCGAGTAGGCCCAGGTAAGCACAAGATCTCACCATCGACTTTTTGCACGGACATTGCCTCTAACGTGGTAATTCCAATGGCATCGGCAGAGAAGAAGGAAGATCTCCAAGAATTCTTCTCATTGGAGGGTCCCCACTCTTCGATAAGTTTTCGAAAGCCTTCCTACTCTTTTGCGGGAAACCTTGATTTCTTAGGCCCGTATGCACGTACATCCCCGCGGGGAGGGGATGTGCGCTTAACCATTGGAATGATCCCCGCTGGGGATCCCCTCCCCTCCCCGCGCGAACCCCCGTATGCACAAAGACATTATCGGACAAGGGATCCCCTGTGGGGAGAGGAAGTGAACCCCCTTATGCACAAGAGGGGATCAAGCGGGGAAATCACCTTGCTTTCAAATTTTCTATGAAAAACTCTTTCTTATTTCATATTTTGACTGCAACTCATCTTCATTTCCTCACTTTCATTAATTTAGGGTTGCGGAATGCGCGTATGCAGTGACTGCGCTCGGGGCGCTAAAAATGATTTTTTCTACTCCCATTATGTTTGTCAAGTATGAAGAGTTAGCTAATCTCTTAACTTGATCCCTCTACCCTTAGTTTCTTTCCTTTGTAATGACATAAGTTCTTGACTAGATTCTTTTATCGTTATAACATAAATATAAATGTGGGGGAACATAATTGGGGAGGGAACCACCGAGCACCCGGGGAGCGCCAGCTCATCTGAAGTTGGTGGCACCGCCCAGTCGGCGAGGGGACTGTCGGACTCTAATAAGTCTGCGTCTCGACATGTCCGTTCCATGGCAAAGCTCGTCCTCGAGCTTTTGAAGTTGGCCACGGTTATTTTGGAGTTGTCATCAGTGGATTCGCTTGGAAGTTGCCCATATGCATGGTTGCGATGTCATCATTGAGTTGGACGTTGCCCATATGTACAGTTGACGTTGCCCATACGTGTAGTTGATGTTGCCCATTTACCATTTGCTGCTTTGGTTGAGGGCAGACTTGCTTCAGGCGTTAGTCGCTGGATTTTTCTTCACAAGGACAGGGGGAAAAGGGATAAGAAGGCACGCTTTCGCACGCCCTGTCAGAAGAATGAGCTCGTCTCGAGCTGAAGAATGGGAGCAACATGGACGAATGATGAGATGATTCAAATGATGAGCAAATCGGGGTACGGATGAGGCTTCCGTAGTCGTTTGGGGAGGCGGATAGGGACTTCCGCAGGGTGGTAAAATATTCCAGAGGGTATAAGGAGGCGAACAAAGACCGCACTGGTGACGAAATGTGACATACGGGAATATGATGACATTCGTAAAGAAATAATGAGCATTGTTGTAGAAAACGAGATTACTGGCATGGAATAATACATAAATAGACAGCAAAATAGCAAAATGAATTATGTTCGAAGACGGCGAAGGAACGGAATGTATACCTCGAACATTTGCCGTTACAGAGCAGGGTAAGCTATGATATGGACATGTAATTTCACAGGATATTGACATTTTTTTTCTAACCTGCAAGCAACTCAGGAGGGAACACTTCCCTAACGTTGATTACAAGGGCGTGAGTGAAAAGTGATTTACTGAAAGCCTTCTCCGAGCCGCCAATCAGAGAATTCTTTCTTTTCACACTGCGGTTGCTTGCGGGCAAACTTACAGGTGTCACTAGCTGCTGCGTAAAGAGAAAAGATGATTACCCTATTTTCAGGTGTATAAGCCGCGGGGTGGTCCTAGCTTAGATCGACCAGCCCGAATACATCAAAGGACACCTCAACCAAAGGACCCTACGCATGCTGTGTATTGCCTGAAAGAGTCGTACGGCATAAGAATCGCTTCTCGAAACACAATGAAGCGGCTGAGCAGCCCGGGCGAAAATTTGAAAAAGTGCGGCTTATACACCTGAAAATAGGGTAGATTGCTAATGACACGTTATGTTCTCTAGCGAGAATCATTCCATTTTTTGTCTCAAACGCTCTGAACGTCTGAGATAAAGCTGGAACCTTTTCTGGAAATCTGTTTTGCAACCATAAACGTAAATGATTTTTTTTGTTTTTGGTTATAGCAGTACATTGATAAATACAAAATTGCACAAAATTGTTATGAATACAGTATAAAGAAACAGTGAAAGCTAAGAAATGGATACCTCTGTGACGAAGTTGGATAAAGATGATCAGTAAATATCCAACTCGCTTCAGTAGTTGAGAATCATCTGCTCCAGAGCTGCATAACCTTTTTACGAATAAGTAATTAGGTGAACCTGACCTGGGCGCAGACTAGGCAGTATTGTTTTACTGCTTGAAACGGATTCCGCTGAGCTTAGGACAGCTCCTGGCGCCTATATGCCACTCAAGATACATAATGACGCTCTCAATCGGCATGACTGGGAAAAGGGCCTCTGGTAACCCCATGGGCTATCACATAGCCTATGGAATCACTGTAGGCAACATAGCCTACGGACTATCCACAGGCGTCTAGATCGCCTGTGGGACTGCGGCAATTACAAAAACGACTATGGCAATTAAACACAATTATAAAAAAATTTTATACATATGTACAGTGCCGGCGTTGGCGATAGAGTCCCTGAGTTTGTGTAAAAAATAACGATG